GTTCTGAGCTCAATACTTGTCTGTGAATTGCTGTGTGAATAAAGTTTCTGTAATTGTCAAAACTTCATTTTTATTATTACTTATTACATTTGTTTTGAGGATTATTAATAGAATAACTATTGTAATAAAAATGGTTATTGCCATTATTACGTAAAAGCTTTTATTATATTAATTGTTATCGTTTCACTGATTATTGATATTGGTAATATTTTCAAATATGACATTTTAAATTCGTCATTATCAGTCTTATAAGGATAACTATTATCAATATCGTTAATTCATCACAACCATAATCATTATCTGTAACTATCATCAAAGCATTATCATGATATGATTTATGATTGATATTTTCTTTTTTATCAGTGTCTTTTCCTTTTTTCTCTTTTTCTCTGAGCAATTAAAATGGTACTGATGTACGACTTTACTGATGCACGTTTTAAAATGGTACTGATGTACAACTTTACTGATGTACGTTTTAAAATGGTACTGATGTACGTTTACTTCACATTTTTGTTTCTTAGACAATATTATCCGGTCAATTCAGCTTTGTCATCGTCCTATCTGATCGACAAGAGATTCCTTATGATTACCTAGTCTCTTCAGTCTATAAACTGAAGATGGTTTTGAGCACAAACATGCTAGAATTAGAATTCTAATGATACCGAAATCCCCGTTTAATTTGCTACAGTTTTGATTTTTGTGTGTTTGGGTTTTGCTCTTACCATCACTGGATTATCATCCCACATTATCTGAGGTGTATTTTCACTTTCTTTGTATACTGATGTGAAGCCTGAAGTATGACCAGCTTAAATTCGTTTTCGCAGCTCTTCGTGTGTAGTATGATTATATCACCTGATATATATTTTTTCATGTTCCTTAGAGGGTCTTTCCTTCATTACTAATGCTTCTAAAATAAAATTATGATAAATGAAGAAAGAGACTAGACATACTTTCTAGCAGTCTTATATTTGTACTAACTATGAGGAAAATGTTTGTTTATATATATATGATAAGTATTTATGTACACACACACACACACACACACACACACACACACACACACACACACACACACACACACACACACACACACACACACACACACACACGTATATAATCGCTCATCCCCGCCAAGGTGAGACAAGGGAAAATGGTCACTCTGTACGTCTACCTCGGAGTGGACCGGACTTTTGCAATAGTGTGTCGTCTTATAAAAAGCGAATTTTAGAGTGGGTGGCTCAACATTGTTGCTGTTCCAATTACGTTCATAGATATTCTCGTATGTATGGCGCCAGGGGTCACAGTGCCATCCGTGAATAACTTACAGATAAAATAGGGAAAGCACCCATGGTTCAGATGCCAATATGTTTGCTAGGGTAGTAATTAATCTTGTGGGGCCGATAATACCCGCGTCCAGCAGAGTTTATACTGACACTCATTGACAAGACAACTAAATTCTCTAAAGCGGTTCCCTTGCGGAATATAGATACCATCACTACTGCAGAGGCTTTATTAATTACTTCTTCGCGTATTGAAATACCGAAATACTTTTCGATCGCAGAACTCGGCTCAGGTCCGATTTGATGGTGGTGATAAACTGACTACTACCCATAAAAACATTATTTACAAGCCCATATTATACAAGCTGCAACGGGACTGTAGAGTGATTTCATGCCGTTTTAATTCCATGCTTAAGATACAATTGGGATCCCTACATTCCATCTGTTCGCGTACCGCGAGGTTCCTGACGATATCCTCCACTTCAGCTGTTATACGGTACGTGATCCACTGTCCATTCTTCATGATCTATGGACCAGAGATGACATCAATGACGAGACTAAAAGCGTTCTTGATCTGTGATCCCAATTAGAAGAATCAGCTCAAACGACTTCATCCCATGCAGACGTTTCTGCGTAGATTTATTAAGCCTATTTTGACAGAAGTGCTAAAGTACACAAATAAAACGAAGGCGACGAAGTACTTGTTTTATTACCAGCATCTCACAAGTTACCTATGCAGTGGAAGGGACCTTATTCGGCATTGAGAAAGCACGAAAACGGCAGAGATTACGAGGTAAAGGTTAATTCAAAGATAAAATTGTATCACAATAAATATGCGCAAGAAATATATCAGGCGTGACGATGTTTGTTCGCCAGGTGTGTGTTATAGATG